GGGTAATTGGGCCTCCGGTAACCTCACTCACATGACGAAACACAACGCAAGCGTTGCTTCACGTCGGTTTTTTGTGAGGCCGTGGTATCACTCCGGTTGAGCCCACCCATTCGTGCCGAAGCATGGCTCTCCCACACTTTTATGTTATATTTATACCCATATTCGCAAACCGATTTCACACATTTTTGGGCATTGTTCTTTAAATGACATTATTATTTAATCTAATTCATGACAATATAAAATATACAAATATACATATTTATAGACATTAAATTTTTAATTAAAGTGATGACGTTATATTTTGAATTCACTTAATTATATTAAAATGATTGTGTTCTTATTTTGAATTTTGAATATATTATTTTTTTGAATTTTGAATGTATTAATTTTTTTGAATTTTGAATGTATTAATTTTTTTTTCGAATAACACTGAAGCTGCCATTTTTGTAATTTTGTAATTTGCATGCCTCAAGGCGTAATGTGGTCGGAACTGTATCTACTTATTTGTTAACAACTTAAAAAAAAATTTGATTTGACTGCCTCGTTGGCCGAGTGGGTGCAAGTGCGACTACCGGGCAAGGGGTCTCGGGTTCGATTCCCGGGTCGGGCAAAGTATTATTGGGTTTTTTAAAAACAAACTCATTAGTAGCACGGAGTATGGAAATGTGCTCTGCAATAGGCTCACCCCATATTACATGGGACTCTTAACATAAATAGTGAAAAGTGGATGTTACTTCTGTGTGCACCTCTGCCTACCCCTTCGGGGATAAAAGGCGTGATGTTATGTAGGTAATTTGATTTGTTTGACAACGTAATTTCCTTGGAGCATTTTAATTAATTGCGAGGATCGTCCGCTGTTGCAGATGATGTGGCGTCGTGGCGGGAAACAAGTGAAATAAAAATGATTTTTATGGAATCACCATTTATGAGATTTTTTTTTAAAAACGTTGCCCTACACTAGCATTATCTCCTGTGTCGTGGGTGCGTTTACAAACATACAAGTTCACATACACATGACACCCAGACCCGGATCAACAATTTGTGGATCACACAAAGTGTTGTTCCGTGCGGGAATCGAACCCGCGACACGTTGCACGGCAGCCGGTTGCTCAGCCACCACACCAACCGTGTAGTCAGATAGGTATTTCGTTTCTTTTTCATATTTTGCGACATCTAGCTCGGTAGTTATGTGTGTAGATTGGCTATTTCATCATCAACAGCCTATAAATGCCCACTGCTGAGCAAAGCCTCTTCTCACACGGAGAAGGTTTGAGCATTAATCACCACGCTTGCTCAATGCGGGTTGGCGATTTCAAACTTATAATTAGAAATTGATAAGTCCAGGTTTCCTCACGATGTTATTCCTTCACCGTTTGTCAGTGGTGTCTAAATAATCTTAGAAAGTACATATAACTCGGAAAAAGTCACATTGGTACTTGCCGTTGGTAGGTTTCGAACCTGCACCCTTATGCGTGAGAAGCGGGCGTCTTAAACCTCCGGGCCACCACGACACACGACGATTGGCTATTTGCTTATCAAATAAAATGTCTTTAAGTACAAAGACTATTGCATTTTAATGACTATAATACGGTAGTTGACAACTAGTCAAATTCAATACTTTTATTGAAACGTCAAAAACGATTGATAATACTGCACTATGAATTTTGTACGAAATACCATCTTATGACGTCATCATATTTCCGCGTCAAATAGCACACTTATATCTAAAAAATGCGAGAATAAATCGACAATTAAGTATATGCGCAAATCAATGAATGAAAGTGTAACTATTTTTCAACATTTAATTGGATTGAAAAATCAAAATAATTTATTTTTGACCCAGGAAACTACCCAATTGTGATTTGTTTATTAAGCCCTTATTGTCAAGGTTTACAAAATGTCCTCAACATGAGAATTTCGTGACTTCAAAATCGTGACACGAGAAAAAATTCTCCTTATTTATTAATTAAGTGTCTCAAAGATTTTGTTCACGATTGTATGAATAACAAACAATGTAACTATGTAATCTTTAGATGTCTATCTACATAGACTTATAATAAACTAGCTTAAGCCCGCGACTTCGTACGCGCAATCCCGTTTTCTCCAGTTTCCATAAGATTTTTAGGATTTTTTTATCATCATCATTACTTTTCATACTCCATTTCATTCCGTTCTTTTTCTCTCTTTCAGAGCAGTGAAGGGAAATGTTGGGAAAACGGGTGAAGAAGAACGGCCCGTTTATTATAAAATCCTGGGCATGGATGGCATGATTATACTATAATATCCTGTCGCGGAGAACCTAACGGGTAACCGGGGCTCCGGCTCGACGTGCAGGAGAAGGAACGGGGTGGTTTTTAGTCAGTAAGAGTCTGACACTCCCTTCCGCCTCACCCAGGCGGGAGCTGTCATTTGATGATTTTCCCCCCCTTAAAAAAACTATAATATCCTGGGCATCACACTAAGTACTTTTATCCCGAAAAAGTATAAATATTATTTATAATGAAATGAATCACTTTAGCTATATGAAACACACTTGAAAACAAACTTAATTGTGCGGCTCAATCCCTAGACACAATTACTGTACCAAACGCAAATATAAGGTTGCCCGCTGTGTAACTGCAGGGCCGATGGTCGAAATTAGCTTGAACCGCTATTGAGTGTGCGTGTATGTATTTTTGTTATTCAGTCAAATGAAAACGGCTGAAGAGACTGGGATGAAATTTGGAAAAAAGGTAGATTACGGTCTGGAGGTTTTTTTTAAGGGTGGAAATCATCGAATGACTGCTCCCGCCTGGGTGAGGCGGAAGGGAGTGTCAGACTCTTACTGACTAAAAACCACCCCGTTCCTTCTCCTGCACGTCGAGCCGGAGCCCCGGTTACCCGTTAGGTTCTCCGCGACTCCGAATCGGCATCGGCCCTATTGGGCCCCATCTGTGGTGGTCTGATGGCTCTTTGAGGCGCGCGCACGGTCTGGAGGGTAGAGGGAGGGAGTTGTTACCCGTTAGAACGCGAGCGAAGCCGCAGGCAGAAGCCAGTGAATAATAAATAATAAGTAGGTGTGTATTGTGTAACGTTTCAAGTTGGCGTGTCTGTGTGTCTACCGGTATATAACTAGTTTCCATTACAATGCTCAAACTTAACACTAATTCGTTTTTCGAAATGATGATATTATTATTCAATTTTATTTTATTAAATAGTCGAAATAATATAGTTAGAATCATCAACCAACTATTAACTTTAGGGCATTCGTTTTTGAGATGCACCCACACACAAATCAAATATAAAAAAAACCAGGTGATGCTCAAACAAACAGACAAACATGACATGTGCGACTTTGTTACATGTACGTATGACATTTATGCAGGTCTACATAATATAAATGGCCATCAGTTGTAGTTCTGATCTTTAGTTTGTTGACGTCTTAGTGATAGTGCGTACGAACATAATAACGTAAGTATATACATATTTGTTTTTTTTTAAGGGGGGAAAATCATCGAATGACTGCTCCCGCCTGGGTGAGGCGGAAGGGAGTGTCAGACTCATACTGACTAAAAACCACCCCGTTCCTTCTCCTGCACGTCGGGCCGGAGCCCCGGTTACCTGTTAGGTTCTCCGCGACAAGTATATACATATTAAACAATTAATAAAATGCGAAAGTTTCTTTATTTGGATGTTTATTCTTCAATCACGCTAAAACTACTCAACGGATTATGATTACGGGCAAGGGGTCTCGGGTGTGATTCCCTGGTCGGGCAAAGTATTACTGGAGTTTCAAAATGTCAGTAGTAGGATGCAGTCTCGAATTGTGCCCGGTATATGGCAATAGGCTCACCCCCCTATTACATGGGACTCATAACATAAATAGTGAAAAGTGGGTGTTACATTGTACAGTGGCATAATGTGCACCTCTGCCTACCCCTTCGGGGATGAAAGGCGTGATGTTGTGTTATGTTGGTATACAAGCAGGGTATAGGCCTTTAGGCTTAATTCATTCTGTCTCCTGAGGGAAGTGGAAACTATAGTTTTTTCTTCTTCTCTTATAATATCTTCTGATTCACTTCGTTGCGGGAACCAAGACAGTTACTCATGTCCCTGGGACGCGCCGGACTTCAATGTTCCGGTGTTTTCATGGCTGTATCTACTGTAGATCCTGGCTTATAGGAGTTGCAGCGGTTTTGGGAAGTTGTGGCGGGCTTAACCCAAAAAAAAGCAGGGTATAGGCTAACTTAGGTGATAGAATACTTTAGACTGGATAAAACAGGAATACGCGGGCAAAGTCGCGGGTAAAAGCTAGTAAAAAAATGTTAACAGATAATAATAGGAATTTTGACTAAATTAAAAATTTAAATTTAAATTTGATGAGCGGGGAAAAAACCAAAGAATAGATTAATAAAATGCATAAATTTATTTTAATTAAGTAGGTAGATAGAATTATTTAACTATTTAAGTGTGGGAGAGCCATGCTCTGGCACAATGGCTGAAAACCGACGTGAAATAATAACATAACATAACATCACGCCTTTTATCCCCGAAGGGGTAGGCAGAGGTGCACATTATACCACTGTACAATGTAACACCCACTTTTCACTATTTATGTTATTATGAGTCCCATGTAATAGGGGGTGAGCCTATTGCCATATACCGGACACATTTCCAGACTCCGTGCTACTACTGAGATTTTTAAAAACCCAGTAATACTTTGCCCGACCCGGGAATCGAACCCGAGACCCCTTGTCCGGCAGTCGTACTTGCGACCACTGAAATAATACTTGCGTTGAGTTTCGTCGTGTAAGTGAGGTTACCGGAGGCCGAATTGAATCCCCAACGATCCTCAAACTCCTAATCCCCAAAAAGCCGGTAACGCACTTGTAACGCCTCTGGTGTTTATGGACAGTGACGATTGCTTATTCCATAAAAAAATGTAAATATTTATTTTTACATATTGTTGGTGTTTGAATTTCAAAAGTGCTTTCTTCAAATTTGTCTTTTGATAAATACAGATGCTTCTATCAGTATACATAGCGGGTACATTGTTCCTGTGCATATGTGTGTTGCTATGGAGCCTGGAGCGACGCGAGCGCAACAAATACAGAGGGGTACCAACCTTACCACTCTTACCGTTCATCGGGAACTTACATCAAGCTATAGGAGATACACAACGTAAGTCGAGTGATGAACAGCGAAATTAATAAACAATGTCAATACAAAATCTTGGGCATAACGCCCGAGTATTGAAAGGAGTTGTCTCACTCAAAGATCTCTTTGGCGGTGGCACGTGCATTGGATCGCTCGATTCCCTACAAAATGGTTGAGTTGGGCGGTGCTGGTGTACGTGTCATGTTCGTGAACAGGCGCCGTCAATTGGGACTGGTCAGCTCCAGACTGTATGATTTTATGTTATTTTCTTTTTCAATCTCTTTGACTGCATTTAGGTGTTGCATTGTTCTTACACAATCGAACCAACAAAATTATGTAACTAGACAATTGTATTGTAAACCCAATTGAAAAAGAGTAACCTATGGAGTTTCTTGCTCGTTCTTCTTCATACGAATCTACACCTTGGAATGAGCAACTAGCTTCTAATTTTTTTTGTTGTTGACGTTCAAAAGTGCCTTCCTGGTCTAATTGAAATAAATGATTTTGACTATGAAGGCTACTCAAATTTAAGTTGCCATTAAGTATGGTTCTGTCACTAGGTACAAATTCTTTGTAAATTGACGGAGATGGCACTATATCTAGGTACAAGTTAAAATAGAGTAGCTTTCCAGTATTATGTTAGAACTTGAATCACAAAGAAAAGAAAGACAGTTCCTGATGCCCTATAATTTCATTCCGACTTCCAGAGTGACCAGCTCCCTGAAAATGATATCACAATTAACCAATTAGTCTTCTATAGCGCCAGAACTGCTTACTAATGATATAGTTTTGTTTCGCAGATATATTTCACGTGGTTGAACATATAACCGAAATCTGTGAAGAAAAACAATCACTTTTTGTCTTTTGGTTGGGACCTTGTCCTATTTTAGGTAAGTTAGTTGTTTCTCATTTTTTGCTCTATTTGTATATAACTTATATAAGAAATGCTGCTCATGAATGTGAGCCTCTAGCATGGCTTGAAACTAGACGAGTTCCTCGTCAAATAATTACGTTTGTAAGCCGAAAACATAATATTTTTTTTTTCTTGTTAAAGGTAGTAATAGTCTTGCACATAGTTTCCTTAAATTAAAGATTTTTCTGTGTCACATAAACCATTATACCTATTACACCTACTGTTGCACATCTCTGCATCACCCCATGGTTGACTGTTAGAGAATGCCACCCGGCATTAAGTCCGCCAACGTTTGTTTGTTATACAGAAGTGATAATAAATAAATAAAATAAACTGATGGTGCGATCATTTGACTAACTTGAAATGAAATTGATATTTTACGCCACCCAAACATCGACCCTAAAACACCGTGCTCGCTATAGACCTTTAGAAATTAACGTCTTGTTTTAATATACAGAAGATTTTTTATATTTGCCTAATATATGTGCAAGTAATCTGCTTTTCTCATTATCGCAGCGGCCCAACATCCAGATGACGTGAAGATGATCACAAACTCCTTCGTGGAGAAGCCGTATTTTTATGACTTCGGTAGAGCTTGGCTCGGAGACGGACTCATCACTGCACCAGGTACTAAGTTCTGATATTTTATAGTACTTTTTTAATATTATTTAAATAATCACGTGTGAGAATAAAGACGAGATTTGCTGAAGCACCTCTTGTTGACGAGATATACAATTCTCATTCATAATGAAGACTGCACGGTTGGTGCGGTGGCTGGGCAACCGGCTGCCGTGCAACGTGTCGCGGATTCGAATCCCGCACGGAACAACACTTTGTGTGATCCACAAATTGTTGTTTCGGGTCTGGGTGTCATGTGTATGTGAACTTGTATGTTTGTAAACGCACCCAAGACACAGGAGATAATCCTAGTGTGGGGCAAAGTTAAAAAAAATGCATCTTATTCCTTCTCCGTATGAGAAGTGAGTTTAAAAGCCTCTTGAATATTCTTTAGTTTCTCAATATCGACTGCACGGCTGGTGCGGTGGCTGGGCAACTGGCGGCCGCGCAACGTATCGCGTACGTAACGTATCGATTCGATAGCAATCATAGAACTGATATAACTAGCAGAGAGAAAGAGTATCTCGATAGCTCTGGTTCAGGAACGCTATTTAGGGATTATGGGTGAGGTGGAGTCGCACCTGAGGGTTTTGCATGATCCTCAGCTTGTAATGGAAATACGGTGGTTATAACAAGCATTTGTATTTCAGGTTACATATGGAAGCAAAGCATCAAGAAATTATCTGGAACATTCACCAGCTCCGTGGTGGACGGCTACCAGGATGTGTTCAATGCTCAGGCGCAGAAGTTGGTGATTAATTTGAAGACTAAAGTGGGGCAGGAACCATTCGATGTTATGCATGAATTGGCGTTTGCCACATTGGAAAGTATATGTCGTAAGTTTTAATGTGTAGATAATATTCATCATCATCTTTAGTTGGGATATGTTCATTGCTGATTTAACTCGTTGAGTACCGTCATTATAGACACAATTAAAGAACAATAGGTTGCGGTCACCGGTGACCGCTTGGTGTTTGACAGTTTAATAAATTGTTAAGTGTGGGAGAGCCATGCTTCGGCACGAATGGACCGGCTTGACCGTAGTGATATCACGGCCTCTCAGAAAACCGACGTGAAATAACGCTTGCGTTGTGTTTCGTCGTGTGAGTGAGGTTACCGGAAGCCCAATTACTCCCATCTCCCCAGTCTACCCAATACCTGAATCCCCCATAATCCACAAATGTTCAATTCCCAAAAGGCTTATAACGCATTTGTAGCACCCCTGGTTTTTCGGGTGTCCATGGGCGACGCCGATTGCTTACCATCAGGTGATTCGTCTGCTCGTTAAAGGACTTATGTCATAAAAAAATAAGACCTCTCTTTTTGTGATAGAAGTTCGCCATTCCTTGTCAGTCTTCAAGCTTGGCTTACGGCGTATCTTGAAATAGCATTTAGATCACCGAAATTTTAGATGATGCGTGCCCGTGTCTCCACTATACTGGTCGTAATTGTTTGTTTGTTGATGCCTAGCAGGGGACGGAAACCGGCTGATGATGACGTCAAGAAGTTAATATTATCTTTTCTCATTCCAGAGACGGCTTTAGGAGTTTCAAATATATCAGAGAGTATAGTGACAGAGGAGTACTATGATGCATTCAACCGTTGCCTTGAGCTGATGATATATAGGGGCGTGAACATCCTTTTACATCCTGACGCCATCTACCGGCTCACTCCTGCACATAAGGAGATGATGAAGTGCGTTGCTGTTCTGCACAAAGTATCTGATAATGTAAGTTTTCTCTTATCTATGAAATTATACTTACTGTACTTGTACTTATGTTCTATTGTCCTGTGTATCATAGCGATAGTGCAATAAACTGCTTTTCTTTCTTCTTCATTTTTCTCTCTTTATCTAATTTTCCAGTAACGACCACACTGTTTTGTATGGTCGTTACTTTTTCCTATCATTTTAATTGCGATGTAGTTAAGTTTACAAGTGCTTCTGGTCTCTTTAATATTACAGGTGATGAAGAAGTTCCGAGCTGAACGTAACGATGTGAAGACAAGTGAAATGAGAGGAAACCAGAATCAAGGTAAGTACGGTTTTGCCAACTTGTGCTTTAAAACATTGGTAAAACAGTTTATTATACCTTTTATAAAAGTTGGAAATAGGTACATTGCAATTTTAATGAGTTGCTATGAAGTGATGGGTGAAATGAGGACCTACAAAGAAGGATTGAGGGTATAGTAGCAACTGAGATTTTTGCGTATCTAAAATGTCAAAAGCAGAAGTTAGTATCAATAGTAAATAGGCATTAAATACAAGGTAAAAAATTAACAATGTTAAAACATTTAAAGGTACAAATAAAGGTCCAAAATTTAAGGCTTTCTTGGACATTTTGTTGGAGCTGAGAGAATTAGACCCGAACTATACGGATGATCAGATCAAGTCGGAGGTGGACACCATCATCGTAGCAGGACAGGAGACGGTAGCTACTGCCTTTTTCTACACCCTGCTGATGATCGGGTGTAAGCCAGGAGTCCAGGAGAAGATGTATGCAGAGTAAGTAGGTACTAAGATAAATTAAAGGTCAAGAGGCTATGAATAACAAAACATAGGGTAACTACCTATTAGATGCCATGGCGTGAGAATACTTTTCTTGCAATGACATTTTATAAGTTAACTCTTGAAGAAGATTCGTGAACCTTGAGGTTACCTTATTTACTTCCTGATTTATTATATGTATAGATAACGGACGACATTATTCAGTTTTAGAGTTTTATGATTAACAGGTTGCACAGTATATTCGGGGACAGTAAGCGTCCGGTGTGCAAGGAGGACCTCGCCCGCATGAGATATTGCGAGGCAATCATCAATGAAACTCTACGGCTGTACCCACCAGCTCCTGGCGTCATGCGATATGCTGACAGGAATCTGAAACTTAGTAAGTAGACCTTGTTAGGTATATAGATTTATTCTTAAGACTTTGACTGCCAATAAAAACTGTTGAAGGTAAATCCTCCGCTAACGCCTGTCACCGGTGACCCATGGCGTTTAACGTGTTAATATATTGAAAGTCGTGTCAACTCAGTGGTGATGGTGATCGGCACTAATAGAGACTAGCCTTCGAAATTTTGTTGCAGGCAGTCATTGTCAAACTTATTTCCTAATCAATCTAGCAGCTTCATGCTTTTTGGTATTATTCTAGAAGAATCCACCTCTGTGTCATTTTTCATCCAAATTCATTTAGTAGTTTATACGTGAAATAGTACCATACATTATCACAAACTTTAACATCGATTAGAAGATTTTATGAAGTAATAAAAGACTTTTCTTTTCTTCCAGAATCCTTCACAATCCCGAAGGGCACAATATGTGCTATTAATTTCTGGGGAGCAGGGAGGTCGTTGCAAGCTTGGGGACCTGACGCCAAAGTCTACAGGCCGGAGCGGTGGCTGGAAGACCAGCCCCCCGGAAACCCTGCAGCATTCCTACCTTTCAGTTACGGGAGACGAGCGTGTATTGGTAAATTTTGTTGACATTTATTACTTTACATACTTCGGGGTCTTGGGTGCTATAGCCGGAATGAGGGGAAAAGGAAAGGGATTCATGTAGTTTTTAATTTCTCAACTTGACTGCATGGTTGGCGCAGTGGCGGGGTGACCGGCTGCTGTGCAATGAGTCACGGGTTCGATTCACGCATCTGGCAAAAAACGATAATGGCATTTTCTTAGTAAAATGGGCATTATTAGGCCGGAGTCAGGATGTTCGGCGGTGTTTCCACCCTTGTGCATCGGAAAGCTCGTAAAGCCGTTGGTCCTGCGCTTGACCTCTCTCTGCTCGTGTCGGTCTGCCGTCCCATGTGGTTCAGGGAGTGAGGGAACAGAGAGTACTTGTGTTTGCGCACACACTTCTGTACTATACTTGCAACCATGATCGAAATCGATTCGGACACTTTTATAGTTCTCAATTTTTTAGTAAGTAATAGTTCGTTATCTAGAATGGCGCCTGGATTTTGTCAGTAGGCTATCCCTTTCGGGCTTGCGGATGGCGAGCACGGGTGACTCACCGCTGGACCAGAACCAGGCCCGAGCGTATGAAGTGTCGCGTTCCGCGCGCTCCTCAAAGAGCCATCAGACCACCACAGATAGGGCCCAACAGGGCTGATGCCGAAACTTAGCAGCGAAAGACTTAACGGGTTGCCGGAGCTCCGGCTCGAAGTGCAGGAGTAGGATCGGGGTGGTTTTTAGTTAGTAAGAGTCTGACACTCTATCTCGCCTCACCCGGGCGGGAGAGGTCATTGGATGATTTCTCCCTCAAAAAAGGCTATCCCTTTATAAGATGACGACTTGTGGTACATTGCAATATGCTCCTTGATTATGTCTTCGGAAATTGTAAGATGTGACATCATGGGTACAAAATGATATAATTAAATCATTAATACGTTCACTCTTTGAAAACAATTAAAGTAATTACTCTGTGATTTTAATGATAGAGGGATGATATATGTAATTTATTTTAATATTGGTAATAAGGCTATTTACCACACATTTACGACAACAATAACAATAACGTAACTGAATAATGTACGGTCTAGTACTGCAATTAATTACGTAAATGATAATCCATTATAGTAAACCATTATCATAAAGATGGACCATAAAGTCTAAGTATTTCTCTGAATTTGTATTTTATATGTTGCGTTGAGACTCTATGAATGGGACGGAAGTTAACCCTTTGAGTACTGTCATTATAGATACTTTGTAAAAATTTTCGGGTTAGGCGACAAGTGTTTAAAATTACTGCCTTCTGAAGAAGGCAGGTAGGTTGATGGGCTAATATTTAACTCTTTAAGACTATTATGGAGAGTTTTTGGGATAACCCCCGTGGAGGATAAAATTATTGGAACAGTTTTAGTATGGGTAATCTTCCACTGGGTTTTTATTTCTATTGATAGGTCTGTATATTTTGCTATTTTTTCGGAGTGTGTGGTAGTGAGATTATGAGTGTTGCAAATGGCTATATCTATTATGTATACTAACTTTTTTGTTTATCTAGCATGGTTATGTCAGGCCTATTGTTGTAGATTGTTTTATCTGTGATAATGGTTCTGTCCCAATATAATTTAAAATGTTCGTTTTCTAATACTGCTTGTGGCTTATATTTGTAGTAGGGTACTTTATCGGTGATCAATTTAGTTTGTATGGCTAGGGATTGATGAATTATTGCGGCAACTTGTTCATGGCGGTGTTTGTAATCATTCTGGGCTATGGCTCGGCATGCACCTGTGATATGTTGGATAGTTTCTGAGGCACCGTGACATCGTCTACAGGAGTCATTATAGTTGGGTCTACGGATAATTATTATTATACAATTAAAGAACAATAGGTTGCGGTCACCGGTGTCCTCGCGGTGTTTTAAAGTTTAAATAGAATAGAATAGAATAATTTATTGAAATAATCATTTACAAAAATGAACATTAAACCAACAGTAGCAGGGTTTCCTATTACAATAAAGACATTGCTTAAGAATATACTAAAATTAAATAAAATATCAATAAAGATATTGATAGCGATTCAGAAAATTCCATTATTTGACAGTGGACCTAGAAAAAAGTATCTAGGGATCGTAATGGCAGTGTTTTTTAGTTCCTAACACCTTTTTTATAATATCATACTAATATAATTAGTTATTAAAAAAAAAAAAACTAAAATGCCAAAACTAACAGTTCCCCTAACTACTCTAAAATAATACTTATTTCTTTTTCTGTTCCAGGTAAGAAATACGCGATGGCGATCTTAAAAACGATGCTGGCGCATTGTGTCCGAGAGTTGGACTTCGAGTCGCAGGCTGCCAACTTGAAGCTGAAGATAGACTTAGCTCTACGACCAGTCTCCGGCCATCTCATACAAATTAAATTGCGGGAAACCGAAAACCGTTGCTTGTGAAGTTGTGTGATACATAAATGGGATTATTGTAATAAATGTACCGTATTCGAGTTATTTGTGATAGATTTTAAAATAAATTATAAAGCCATCGTGAGACCTACTAAATTACCTAACTAAAAATCACGGGTTACTCACGTGAATATAGTGCGCGACATCGCCGCGACCGCACACGTTGCTCATGAGGATGAATCCCTCTGTGGTTCGAAACTAAGAGCTTTTGAGTTCAGTGAGTGACCCGCGATTATTAGTTAAATTATAGAGCACTACTAGTGCCCGGTTTATGTCTAGTGTGTACAGCGGAAATTAGGCATATTGCCCATGACACAGCGGATTTGTCGATGCCACGTCGTGGAAGGTTTTAATTTCTACTAAGCAAACGTTTGTCATTTGTAGACCACCTATTGGTATTGGACGAATGCTTTCGTCAAACCACTTGTCGTCGTCATGGACAGTACCTACTCAATCTCTGCATAGATTTATGTTTTTGACGGAAATTCAATTAAGTTAAGTTCTATCGAGTTTCGGTCAAAAATCGATCTCAACTCAATTCAATTCAAAACGTTGCGCTCGGTTTAATTGTGGTTAGTATTCAGGTTTTACGAGACCCTCTTAAAGTTGGATTGGAGACAAATACATTCTATCCTACCATTACCATATAGCAGCTTACTTATCTATTTATATTATCTATACTTATATTATATATATATATATATATAATTATATTATATATATCTACTAGCGGAACCAACAGACTTTGTCCTGCACATCCACTTGAATGTATAAACAAAACGTCATTCAAATTAGTTCAGCTGTTTAGGATAAATAACCTAAACATTGACTGCAGCGCCATCTGCCGGGCTGATTTGTAAATCTAAACCATTCCCAGATCCCCTTGAAAACACACAAAAAATTTCATCAAAATCGGTACAGTCGTTTATATATATAAAGATACTTATATTATAGCGCGCATTAGTAAGACTAATGAATCGTTGCACACCCCATCTCTAGTTCGACGCTCGGCACGAGTCCGCGCCCGCGCCGCAACTCTAGTGAGTGACGCGAAATCTATTAACTCGTCGAGTACCGGTTTTATAGACACAATTAAAGAACAATAGGTCGCGGTCACCGGTGACCGCTTGGTGTTTGACAGTTTAAACCGGACGCACGCGCGGTCGAGCCGCGCGCCGACTAATTCACATTTAAATCCGTAAACGTTTTTTTTGTTATTCTCATGCAAGTTTTGTCTTAATTCCGTATGTTATGCTCCAAATGTGATTTATTCAATATAAGTTGAGTTTTTCCCTAAGTGTCGTTCGTTATTTCACTCGACTCAACCTATAACTGGCAGCCCAACGTGGAGCAGAACGTGTACGAACTTGCATTAAAACCGTTTAATTTATGTGAATTCGCGTGTGTCGTGTGATTTCAAGTAGTAACTAGTCAATCGCGCGTAGGTAGTGATTACCTAGGTTTTGTATCGGGTACGTAATACCTGAACCTAAGTACCTACGTTATTTCGCGAGAAACTCAGTGAATCCTATGTTTTGCATCGGGTGTGTAATACCTGAACATAGATTCGTCACAGACAGCCAGTGTATGATTTACTGTGCACCTATTTGTCTATATTTTGTACCGGGTGCCTAAAACCTGAATATAGATAGTGTACGTACCTACGCCGGCAGACATTTTGTGTGTGTTTCGACTTTCGAACAATAACCGCGAAAGATTTTGTGTCGAGTGTGTATTACCTGAATCTAGGTTATTCAGACATTAACTATTAGTTGGTTATAAGTACTATTCGAACAGTCGTCGTATAAAAGTGATTAGTGTTTAACTCAATACGTAAACAACAAACTTTCGGTTTCGTATTCCAGAAACTTCTAGAACTGTGTTGTGAGAACATTTTCGAAGTACCGCTTAGTAAATAAAATAATATTAGAATTGTTTCAAGTGTGTAGCATCAAAACCTACCGTCATTCGTGAACTTTCGTATACCTACCTTCTAGGTTTCGTATCGAGAATTATTATTCTTGAACCTAGATTGTCGTGTGTGAACATTTGCAGTGTAGGTACGGACTTGTAAAGTGACTGTAGTGAGGTTTTGTCACAGGTACTTAGTTACCTGAACCTAGGCTAAGAAAATCAGTGATTTTTGCGAACTATATAGTTTTTTCACGTAAATCGTGGACGATTGTTATCGCAACGTACATAGTTCTAAGCAGTTTAAAGTTCGTGTTTTGTCAACGTGGTGACTGTTTAACTTAGTGATTTTAGACTTTTCTTGCGACTGTGTGGACTTCATTATCACAGTTCGTCTGTCGTTATAAACAATCTAGTGCTTAAGTGGAACCTAACTAAGTTTTGAGACGTTGTGCTGAATAAATAGTGAACTTTTACAATGGTGCTAACAAGATCGCGTAATGCGAGCCCTTCTGCCGCTGGCGCCTCCGTTAAGGCGGAAGCGCTGCTCCAAGCGCCCGCGCCGGACATGTCATGTCCGCGCGGCGATGACACTTCGGCTGCAGAAGTGGTTGTGGTGGACCCACAGCCGGCTGCTGGCGCCGCCGCAGCTCCGGTCGCCATGACAACCGAGCAGCTACTGCTGCTTATTGACAGGCTAAGTCATCGTGAGTCTGTAAGTACGCCAACCCAATTTTATTCTGGCAACTTTGCCAAGTGCACCGCTCGTTTCGATGGCGAGAGATCCAGCGACGTCTTGGCGTTTATAGACGCCATAGAAACTTACAAGGAATGTGTACGAGTGGATGACAGCAATGCACTTCGTGGTTTATCAATGCTCTTGACGGGAATTGCAGCCACCTGGTGGCAAGGTGTAAAAGATAGCACCGTCACATGGTCAGCGGCTATCGACGCTTTAAAACAAACATTCGGACCAAGGCTGCCGCCGTCAAAACTTTATCGAAAGGTTTTCGAACGAGAGCAACGTGTCGACGAAACTACAGATTTATTTGTTTGCCACCTAAGAGCATTGTTCGCGCAGCTGCCATCTTGTTCTCTCTCGGAGGCGGTACAATTAGATATGACCTATGGTCTTCTACATCGCCGTATCCGAGAAAAGGTAGCTCGTTCATCATTTGAGAATTTCGCGCAGCTTCTAACTGAGGCCCGCCGCGTGGAGGAGATTTTAGATGAGAGTCGACCACGAGTTACTTCTGAGAGTAAGCCGTCTACGTCCGTAATGTCGACTACTCGACCTGTTACTGCACCTAGTCATATCAAGACTAGGCCCCACTGTAATTACTGTAAACAGTACGGACACCTAAAGGAAGCGTGTCCGCGACTCGTCAAACAGAAGACGACTGCCAAGGAGGAGGTAGTCGAGTCTAAACCAACTATGATCACGTGTTTCGGGTGTGGTGCTCCTGGAGTAATTCGCTCCAACTGTGTCACGTGTAAGGAAAAGAAGGCAGTAGTGTCTTCCGTTTCGTGTCAGTGTCAATCAGTGTCCGCGAGTGACGATAAAGTCGATTCGCGAGTGCGGCCAGTGATTAATGTAGAAATCGAAGGTGCCGTAGGTACATTTTTAGTGGACACAGGTGCTAAACATTGTATCGGAAGTGTATCATTAAGGTCTCATTTAGCTAATAAAGGTCATGTTTTTCAGAATGTATTTACTGAATTAAAATATGCAGATGGTCGTATTTGTAAACAAAATGTAGAAGTAACTGATGTTAATGTAACTGTACGGGGGGTAACGCTACTCGTTAGTTTTATAATGCTGCCTAATGCAACGGAGAGTTTATTGGGTATGAACTGGATACATGACGTTGGCATGGTATTCGACTTTGACCGTGGGGTTTGGTTCGTGAGAGGTGATAGGACACCTCAGCGAATTTGTTTCGAAAATACGCCAGTTAAGTCCGTCGTCTGTTCATCTGTGGGTCTTCGCGAGGATGAGGGTTCCCATCTCGATTCGGATGAACGGGGGCGACTGTCCGACATCTTGGATATCTATAAAGATATTTTCGCACCAGGGGGAGGACCGACTTCGTTTGCGATTCATCGCATTGATACTGGTGACGCCGCGCCAATTGCAAGTCCGCCTTACAGAGTTACACCCTCGAAGAAGGAAATCATCAGGAAAGAGATTGACAAGATGCTCGAGGATGACATAATTGAAGAAGCTGAGTCCGAATGGGCCTCACCAGTGGTATTAATACCAAAGAAGAACGGAGAAATCCGTTTCTGTGTGGATTACCGCAAGCTGAATAGTGTCACGCGGACTGATAAATATCCACTGCCAGTGATCGACGAACTCTTACAGAGTACGAAGCCTAACTGCGTAATGTCTACTATTGACTTGAAGGCAGGTTATTGGCAAACTATGGTCGCTCCCGAGGACCGGCCGAAAACTGCTTTCACTACACCATATGGAACGTTTCAGTTTCGCCGTATGCCGTTTGGGTTGAAGAACGCGCCGGCAACGTTCCAACGGTTGATTGACCGAATGAGGTCTGGTTTAAAGGACGTGTGTGTTCTTGCGTACCTGGATGACATATTGATCATATCCCCGCACCTGGATCAACACTTGAAGGATTTAGAACAAGTGTTCGAGCGCCTGAAGTTATTCAACTTGAGGGCAAACCGAGATAAATGCGTATTCGCCAGGGAGCGCGTTAACTACTTAGGACATGTCATCAGCAGCCAAGGTATTGAACCTGACCCAGATAAGGTTCGAGCGGTGGTGAATATGGCCCCACCGACGAATTTAAAACAATTGAAAAGTTTTTTGCAAACTTGTTCATGGTTTCGGAAATTCATTCCGAACTTCTCGGAAGTAGCGCAGCCATTGACCGATTTGACTAAGAAGAACAGACCCTGGAAATGGGGTGAAAAGGAAGTCAGAGCCTATAATGAGCTTAAAAGGAAACTCACGGCTAGTCCCATTCTGCGACAACCTGACTTCGAGCAACCGTTTGTGCTGCGAACGGATGCTAGCAATTATGCACTCGGTGCAGTGCTAATGCAAGGCCCAGATA